GAGCAACAAACACAGAAACTTTAAGAGTCACACCATGGAATCAACAAGCTATCCTTTTTATCATCACAATTGTTACTATTAGAAAATAACTTTCTTGGTTGCAAAATTATGGGTGTAAAATTAGGTCCTGTCCAGGATTTCAGTTCTCTTCTCTCCCAGGTAGAATTGCTTATAAGCACAGACTTCTAACTTAGAGATTTCATCTGTCATGTGGCAGAGTTCCATAAGGCTGGTCCTATTATACCAGCAACGTCATGAGGCTTTCAACATAGCTTTAGTAGACAGACTTTCGTTCCCTTTTGGTCAGAGTCTGGTGGAAGTTCTCCCTCAGGACCTGCCAGAATGGTAGGCAACTGTGGAAGCAGCAGCAATTAGTTAATAAAACTGTATTGTTCCTGACAGCTTTTACACATCTATTTTCTTCTGCTGACTAAGAAGGTCACCCAAATTCTATCTTTTCCAGCATCTTATTTTTGGCTGGATCAAGAAAGAGCAGTGACAAACTCTGCAGAGATGCCACAGTGGAATTTTTAACATTAATTAGAATCTTTGTTTTTCCTAGGGAATCTCATAAGCAGAAGAAAGAGGTTAAGTACAAGAAAGAATCCGACATTAATTCAAATTTAAGTCTTGGCTCCTACAGTGACTAGCTGTGTGATCTTGGGGAAGTTATTTATATTTTCTACACCTCAATTTATTTATTGGTAATAATAATGAAAGTTACTTAAGAGGGTTGTTATGAGGATTTAAAAGGTCTATTTAAATAATTTATCACAGTGCCAAAATAGCAGTAAACATTTGTGGTTGTGGTGGTTGTAATCTTTCTTGAGGCTAGAGAATGATGGATTAAAAACCAAGCTTCTGTGTGTAGGAGGAAAGACACTACAAAGTATTTGTCTGGTGGCTACTCCTCAACCTTCTTTGTTTTTGTAAAAATCACAACATAATGGCCTTCCTGAAACATGGGTATCTTAAGAGAAACCAAGGATAGGGAAACCCAAGAAAGCTAGGAAATCATTGCAAAAGGTCTAGGAATTCATATTTAGGATAAGCAGAGACTATAGGTTGAACAAATTACAGATATAGATATAGATAGATAAATAGATAGGTGATAGATAATGTACTAGATGTATTGCATGCATATAGTACTCAATGTAGTAAAATATATGATTAACAAAATACAAATTTATTTTGCTAGAAACTGAATTATGCTAAACATGCTATAAATCAGGAGAGATAAACAAACACCTACTACTCTGTGGAGGCTCAGAAAAATATGGGTCATGCAAAAGGCATCCTTGCAACGGATTTTCTGGAAACTTCTGCTAAAGGCAAATAACAAAGTGACCTTTATGAAGGTTCCCTACTGTACTGGGTTCTCCATGTCATTGAAAAAGATTTTTGGGGGACAAAAAGATATGATTACAACTGAGATAGGCACCAAATACATAAAGTTGGCTCCATGAATATCTTCACCATTATTAAACCAACACCTAAGCTACCTAATGTCTATGTTTGCCAGAGAATTAAAAACAAAGAAAATGAGAAGAAGCTGTTGTTGTTTTTTTGACTGTACAGATATTTTTTGCTTGTTCTGCTGACATGCAATATTAGTAAATAAAGAGGAGAGTATGACTCCTTGATCTTCATTCCTACATAAATAGTGCAAAAATGGAAACTTGAAGGATATGACTAGAGTAAAAGAAACAGTATACAATATTATGACCTTTTGGATAGAATCAAAATTTTGTGGCAAAATTTTGCTGCCTAAAACCCTGAGACAGGAGACTAAAGCTAATTCCAATAAATGGAACAAGTAGAGGGGTAACTTATTTTTTCATATATATGCTATACTAGTTTGAATTAAGTGGTAAGTTTTCTGTTCTTGAAGGTATTAAAACTACGATGTGCTGGGAAAATTGGAAAAAAACATATCCTATTCTAAAAGAATAGGCTGGATGACCATTTAAGTTGGAAAAAAGGATTGAAAAGGAGTCCTGAGGCAACACTTTATTTTTCCGTTTACCTTGGATTGATCTTAGTAGGAAATTTTATGATTAGTGTTAAGTGCAGGCAACATGAAGCACAGAGCTGGGGCAATAACCAAAAATATAATTCTGTTCTTAAGAAAAAATATCAGACCCAATTGCTTCCTTTTTGGCCTGACTTATTTAGATCAGTTGATCAGCTCGAATTTACCAAGGGTTAGTTTGAGATCGCCCTTGGGAGAATGTAGGCTTTTATAAACCCTTTTGTGGAAGAGTGTGAGAAATGAGCATGGTGAGAGATAGGGCTAGGGGTCTTGCAAATGTCCTTCATGCCATGTTGAATCTGCCTATCCTGCTTCTAGTTTCTCCAAGGCCCTGAAGCCCTGCTGTTTCTTACTGACCACAGAGGTCACAGCAAGGGCCCTACCCGCATATAAGTTATGGTAAATTATATTCCTATTAGATTGGTCCTTTCCCCCAGAGCAATAATTTTCGATAGCAGCAGTATAGGGCATCTCTGAGAGCATTGTGGAAATTTAGCTTATTGGAGTTAGGGGTTGCATTTGTGTTTGGAGGATGCTACTGAAATGTAATGGGGTGGAAACAAAGAAACCAATCTATTGCCATGAATGAAAATCTCACACGAAAAAATTATCCCAAGCCCCACCCAACTGCTCAATGGCTTACCAGTCTTTCACGTATGTAGGCCTAGACTCTACATCTGTTTTGTACGTAGAGTTCGTTGTAATATATGTTGGCTTTTCTGTAAATGCAACAGTCATGCATATCAAAGGAAGACCTTTTTTTTTTCCAGAACTTTATCAAAATGTTTTGTTATTTCAGTAAATAATGTCACTGGTGACAGTACCACTCCTGGTATTTTGACTATCAATCTTACCTGATATATTATTCTGATTTGTATTTCATTCGTTCACAAATATTTCATGTTTAGGTGAGCGCCTCCAACTACTTCATCATGTTTCCTGGTATAGCACTGCCTTTGCATTTAGATATTGAAATACATGTTGTCTTATGATATATAATTTTTTATTTTTTCTAAATATTAAAGTTGTTACATTTCTTTTAAAAATCTGTATGTTTGGCCGGGCTTGGTGGCTCATGCCTGTAATCCTAGCACTTTGGGAGGCTGAGGCGGGCAGATCACAAGGTCAGGAGTTCAAGAGAATGCTGACCAATGTGGTGAAATCCCGTCTCTACTCAAAATACAAAAAATTAGCCAGACATGGTGGCACGTGCCTATAATCCCAGCTACTCGGGTGGCTGAGGCAGGGGAATTGCTTGAATCTGGGAGGCGGAGGTTGCAGTGAGCCGAGATCATGCCACTCCAGCCTGACTCACAGATCAAGACCCCGTCTCAAAAAAAAAAAATCCATATGTTTATAAGTTATGTTATTCATTAATTTCATTTCAGGATACTACCCTAGCAATACTAGTGTTGTACTGGAGGCATTTGTAGCTGTTAGCATTGAGAACAAATGCTCTAAAGAATTTCCTGTTCCAGGTATAAGGCTTTCTCTAGTCTTCCAAACATCTAACTTCTAAACTTCTAGATCTGTGATGATTAAATTTATGATCCTTATCCTTAGGAAACAAATCCATGGAATACCTGCTTATACTAATACCCTGCCAAAATGATTTTTCCAATTTGTTTATGTACTTCTTGGAAAATTATATGATTTAGTCATATGGGAAAACATACGATGTAGTCAGGCCGAGGTACATTTTTTACCTACCATCGTTATGTATGAATCATTATATGCATTTGGTGTCATGTTATGCCTGATCCCCAACTATTTTAAAGTGTGAGCTTCAGATGGATCAAATTTATTCTTGGTGAATAGAAAATAACAATTTTAAAGTAAGAAAAAATGGTTCAGAACCAGAATTGAAGCTCCAACTAAACTACTTCCTCCATAATTCTCGGAAGGTTCAGTTTAGTGTTTAGTTAATTAAGTGAAAAGGAAGACACAGAGGAGGAAAAAAATGAAAAAAAAAGAAAGGAAAACCTCCATCCATGTTGAAATGTAAATTTCACAAAAGTATTTGGTGCCATCAGCAATGAAAAGCCTGTGGCAGGCCATGTATGTACATACCCTCTCCTCTTTGAATTGTGCATGACGTGGCTGGCAAGAACACCTACTCTTAATATCCATTTCTCATGGCTAATATTAAGAGATTTTTTTTATACCTTTGAAAATTGTTTCTCTCCTACTTTTTAAGGCTTTGTCTCTGTTTTTCTCTTTCCCTCTCTTTCTTCACACACAGACACACCATAGATATGCACACATTTTTACTTTTCTTTTTTTTTTCTTTTTTGAGACAGAGTCTTGTACTGTGCCCATGATGGAGTGCAATGGGACAATCTCGGCTCACTGCAACCTCTGCCTACTGGGTTCAAGCGATTCTCCTGCCTCAGCCTCCCAAATAGCTAGGATTACAGGCGTGTGCCACCACACCTGGCTAATTTTATATTTTTAGTAGAGACGGGATTTCACCATGTTGGTCAGGCTGGTCTTGAACACATGACCTCAGGTGATCCACCCACCACGACCTCCCAAAGTGCTGGGATTATAGGCATGAGCCACTGAGCCTGGACACATTTTTACTTTTAATCAAGGCTCAGTCAGGGCTTTTCCTTGAGATTTTGGGACACCTTTCATATGCCTTGACTACTCTGTCTCTTCTAATTGTTCTCATGCATGCCATGAAGCCATATTCAATTTGCATCTCTCCTCTCTAGCATATTAATTCAACTTAACAAATAATCAGTAGATATTAATTGAGAATCTCCAAGGTACAAAATATTCTGCCATATGCTCTAGAACACTTCTTTGCTTAAAGACATTATATTTAATTTGGATAGACCAGAACACATATAAGAGTAGTAAATCAATTTTCCTGGTTATCAGGAACTTTCACAGATTTTCCTTTCATAAAGCCTCAAAATTGTAAAGTAGGACATGTTATCATTATTATCTTTACTTACAAGTTAATGCAATGAAGCTCAGAAAGCTTAAATGAGGTTCCTGAGGGTGATGAATGATCAGCTTAATGTCTTGTCAGTTGATTCTTAGGTTTAAGTTAGTTCTGTTGTTGATGCTACTTCCTAGAAAATAATAAACAACAATAAAATCATTCCCCAAAGTATTATATAATTACGGTCTCTCTAGGGAATCATCAATGAATATCCTTAAGCGTTCATAGAGGAGAGATACCACTATAAGTTTGATAGGTCGGGGGAAACCTGCTAAACCTAATGGAAATGAATAAAGCATCTGTTTCAAATACACAGGGCAGAGGAAGTTTTCAAACGGAAGGGAGTATAATAAAAAAAATATTGGGGCAGGAATACATGAGACTTACTTGAGGAAAAGAGAATATCTAATATCAATTGAGTGCTTAGTAGGCCCAGGCACTGTTCCAAACACTTTACCTGAAATTATTTATTGAATCCGACCAGTACAATCACAGTTTCACAGACAATGATCTAAGAAACAATAACTTGTTCAATGCCTCACAGCAGAGGAGGGGTTTGAATTCTGAAGTCTGGCTTTAGAGCCTGTACACTTGTCAGGTTTGGCCATGCCACCTGGCATCTCCAACACTTTGGTGAGGTGGAATATGTCTATATCAATCTATCTACAACTAAATCTAATCTATATCATCTATAGCTATCTCTCTATCTATATCTCTATCCAGGTGAAAACAACCTCAGTTTTTATATTCTTCCCTTCACCTCCTGAATATATTTGTACATTTCAGTTTTCTATGCTTACATTGTTTTAACTGTAGGGCGTGATTGGTCTGTTGGCTTTTTAAAGCATTTCCCCAGCACATACACAAATTATAATGCATTTCTTTCTTACTAGAATTCTCAGATACCAACACACCAGATATTATTTCTATTTCAGAGACAGAGAAAAATGCCCTATTGGAGGGTCATATGGTACCAACTTGGCTCTCTGCTTCTTATTGTCTTTCATTCACTGCAAGTTAGCTGAATCACAGCCTGCTGGGACATGTCACCATCTCAGATACTTTTCATTCTCTCTTCTCTCTCCATGTCTGGCTTCTACTTGGTCGTCCCAACATGCTGCATATCTGAAAAAGGATAGGAAATACATTCGTCTAAATTCTAACCCTGAAAGTGGAAGAATAGAAGAAGACAGGAGAGAGGGAAGGAAGCTCCAGAGTCCATCTTCCTGCAGCTGTTGGACGTGAATGATTTAGTTACCCTAAAATTCTCTAGAAGACCAAGACACCACATCCCATGAAAGCCATCACCCTAAGGAGGGGATGAACCCTGAGGGAGCCTTCAGGAATGGAAAAAAAAAAATGTATTATGCATGACCAAAATAAGCGTCATGCCTAAGCTTTTGATCTGCTCTTGACTCAATTGGCTATAACCTCTACAGAATTGTGTATTTCAATTAAAAACAGAAGATAAGAGATAGAAAGCGGGAAAGTGTGAAACTTTGGGAGATTTTCAGCAATAATAGACTTTTACCAAATTAGCTGGCCTAATTTTCAGGAACTTTATCACCTCTACAATCTGTCAGGGCTGTTTTTCTTTGCTATCTTCTCTTCAAACAATTACAGGAAAGAAGTCTGAAAGGGTGGCCAGGTCTGGCCTAGTGGCACCTGGAGGCCGAGGCTCCTTTTTCACAGCAAACTCCAGGCATTCAGCACTGGGCAAAGGTTTCCATCTTCACTCATTATAGCATGGGCTTCTTTAGAGCAGAAATGCCTGCCAAGCCCCAAATACACATGTCCCATAATGAAGACAAATGTCCCCTTGAAGTGAGTTCAAACTGTGGAATTAATTTTGCTATGGAACTTTATTGCCGTCTAATTAGAGTGACATTTGGTCCGTCTAGTTATATCTGGAATCAAACCAGAGACTTGGAGGTAAAAGCCCCTTGGCCAGGCATGGTGGTTTGGCTGGTGCGGTGACTCACACCTGTAATCCCAGCACTTCGGGAGGCTGAGGTGGGCAGATCACCCAAGGTCAGGAGTTCAAGACCAGTCCAGCCAACCTGGTGAAACCCCGTCTCTACAAAAATATAAAAATCAGCCAGGCATGATGGCAGGTGCCTATAATCCCAGCTACTCAGGAGGCTGAGGCGGAAGAAACACTTGAACCCGGGAGGCAGAGGTTGCAGTGAGCAGAGATCGTGCCATTGCACTCCAGCCTGGGCAATGGAGCAAGACTCCGTCTCAAAAAAAAAAAAAAAAAAAAAAGCCCCTCTATGAACTGTCTCCCTTCCAGAACTAAGCTGATTTATTGTGTAGAGTTGGATGGTATTCCTTTTGATAGTCCTGGTCTTCACAGCCTGATTAATATTGAGCTCTTTACTAGCAAACGATGCCAGAACTTGGAGATCTGTCTTTTAAAATGTGGCGAGTTTTTACTCACCCGTGTTCCATTTCTGGAGTAAAATTAGTGGTGAGTACCAGGATGGGCTCTTTTCTCACCCTCTTCCCTGGAAGAGTGAAGCTATAAGAACACAGATATGGCAGATGTGCAACGTATGGTGCCCTTTCTTTGGAGAGCTGACTGGCAGGGGACAAGGATCACAAGGTATTGAATTTGGGGGATTGTCATCTGGAAATCTCAAATCTCAGCATTTAAGCTATGTGGAAATAAATATATAGAGCCTACCCTTGGCATGGAGAATCCCTGTATTCTGTGATATTTCAAAGAGCATGGAGTCCAGGTGGTAAATCTTCATATAGACCTATGAGGCTTAAGTGAAGGAAAGGGAAGTGAGCTACCAGAGGAATGGGATAAGGTGTACATTACAATTCCTGTGGCTGAAAGCCTGAGTTTCCTCCCATCATGGACCTCAGATAGCAGATGTCACATCTAGATCTGCCTTGCACGTAATAGAATAATTTTGTCAGGAGCCCTCATGAGGCCTGCCCTGCCTCAGGACCCTCACATTCAGGGATAATGTTTGTCTTTGTTCAGCCTTAAATAGCCCTTCGCCTTCCCTATTCTCACACCTTCCTTTTCCTCCATGGTGAGTGAGATATTTTGATATCCAAAATCAATAAAAAATGCACAGTGCATAAGATAATGGGATGTGGGTTGCCTATTCAGTTTATAAATTTCCAGATTACTGAGCAACATCTTTCTTCATAAATGCCCTTAGCATTATTAGTTACACTTATTTTAAATTCATAGAATGGTAACACCAACATTTCTTTCATACCTGAATCTGGTTCTAGCACTTGTTCTGTCTCTTCAAACTTTGAATATGTTTCATAATTATTTGTTGGAAGCTGGACATCATGTACTGGTAAAAGGAACTGCAGGAAATAGGTCTTTAGTGATGAAGTTACTAAGGTATGAGGTATGGGGAAGCAGCCTAGAGTCCTCTGACTAGGTGTTAGTCTTTTAGTGAGCCCGTACCCCTGGGCTGTGAACTTTGTGAATGCTTCTCAGTTTTTTTGTTTGTGTGTGTTGGTTTGGGTTCTTTTCTCACCCTTAGGTGGGGCTGAATATCTAAAGGGGGTTGGATTTATATATTTCCCTTCTCCCAGGTGAGTTAGACTGTGATAAAACCCCAATAGGTTAAGCTCTGGTAAATAATTTCTCTTGCAAACAGGTCTTATTAAGAATGAAATGCTGTGACTTATTTCAGAATGATTACATTTGCCCTTCTGCAGAAAGAACAAGGGGCTTTTTCTCCAATCTTCTCTGTGAGAACTAGCAGAGCTTCTAGAGATAAAACTCACAAAAGTGGGTCTTCCTCACTAAGATTGCCCCCTTTCCTCCCATTTCTGTATCTGGGACTTTCAAACTCTCACACTTGTCTACACTGAGCCTGCAGCAATTTGTCAATTACAATTTAGATTTTTCTACCCTGGTACTGGTTCCTGTGAAGGGTTCTGATTTGGGGTTACTGCTTTCATAAGTTGTGAATCACTGTATCTCTCTGTCTCTCCATTTTGGGAGCAACAGTTTGCTCTGTGACCTCAATTCTCTGATAGATCTAAGAAGGTTGTTGGTTTTAACTTTGTTCAGCGTTTTACTTGTTTTTAGGAAAGAGTGAAGGCTTCCAAGCTCTTTACATACTGGACCAGAAACTAGAAGTACAATATTTTCTTTCAAATATCATGTTGGTTTGGTACTACAAATCCTCCAGTATTCCTACATTACTTGGCCTAATATAATAATCATTACCGTTATTGGAGCACTATTCCTATACGGGATTAGATCTTGATGGTTAACTCTGTTATAGAACCGAACTGGGGTCTACTTGTCCAGCACAGTGATACCAGATATCCACACTGAGGCTTTGGCAGTGACAGAAAGAAAGGCATTAAGTTACAGGGTGCCAACCAAGCAGGAGCTGGCAGCTGTTGTTTAAATCCTGACCTCTCTGATGGCCTGCAGGCAAAGGTTTTTAAAGGCTGAGGTCACATTCAGGAGAGAAAATTGTAAATCAACACACAGCTGTTACACATTGGTTTCGGCCTAAGGACTGGATACCTTGAAGCAGGGACTTACAGGTTGTCGGTGGATTCAAAGGTTTTCTGATTTGCAACTGGTTAAGGAAGAGAAGCTTTGCTTAAAAATGTGGATTCAGCAGAAGAAAAAAAAATGTTGACTGGCTCTGGGGTGTGATTCCCTCCAAGCCCCACCGGAAGAAATTTAGAACAAAGAACAATGGTCAGAGTTCAGTTTTCAGCTCCTCCTTATCTGAGGTCTGTGTGCCAGCAGATCTGGATATATTTGGTGGGGGTCCTCGGTGGGGAAATCCAGTTTCTGAAAGATAACTCAGAGACATATGTTAAGATATTATCTTTAGTTTCAATAGGAAAACCAAATATCTCTGGACCCTACTCCTTGGCTATTGTTTTAGGTATTACCTTCTTGCATAACAAGTTATTTATGTACTTTTCATGGCTAGCTTCCCTTGAAGAAACTCAAGATTTTATTTTATTTCTATGCCTGGGAAAGTGGGGGGCATGCAGATCACCAAAAAGGGACTCCCTGCTCCATCTCATAAGGTTATGTATGGATTTTTATACGTCAGCCCAGCTACGGCAAACTTAAATATCTACTGGGTCAAGGCAAGCAATGAGCTAAACTGGCCAAGGCAGATCTGGGAGAACCCTGGCACTCATGCTCTTGTCTAAAGATGGCGGTGCTACTCAGCCCCAGAAGCTATTGCTATGAAGAAAGGCAGGCCAACTCCTGCTAGATTGTCAGACTTTTCAACAAAAGCTACAGCTATAGATACGTTTTTTTTTTTATGTTAAATTTCTAAATTAGCTAATGGTGTCAGCTACTTCAAAGACATTTTAATTGATCAAAACAAAACATGTCTGCAGGCTATAGTCATTTGGTGGGTTCCCTGTTGTGGAGCCTCTGAGTTATGGCAAAAAATGTAGGTGCTTTACCCAGTTTTGCAGTTACCTATGCTATGGGAGTAAATACTCTTTAGAGACTAATATATTACTCCATGTTGAAAATAGTTAAATCAGTCATCCTTTACTCTTAAGCACAGTACTTAAGAATAGGTCATGTTTATCTGTTCACCAACTCACACTGACAAAGAACCATGCCGTTAGATCATTGTGCACTAGCCAGTCGCTCCTTCTGTGTGGATCAGCAAATACTTACTGAAAAGTCTTCTGAGGCAATAACTGTGCTGTGTTCAGCTGATTTAAGATGAGGAATAAAATACAGTCTTTTATTGAATGCTTTATGTATATCCATACAGTGATATGCTATACAGCTGTAAAAAATAATGAGAACATGCTCTATATCTTGATATGGAACAATTCCAAGATAAAATATCAAATTAAAAATAAAATGCAGGACAGTATACTGAAATTTGCCTTAAAAGGGGATATATATGTGTCTGTGTCTGTGTGGGTATTTACGGATCTAAAATGTCTATTAAAGAACACATGGTAATTGATAAAACTAGTTGCCCTAGGAGGGGAATTAGGAGGAAAACAGCATAGAAAGAAAACTTTTACCCCTAGGTTAAGTTTGCTATATGCCCAATTATGCCAATAAAATGGCAAACATAAAATATCCTTTAAGAAAATATCTGTCAGTGGGTTCTTACAGCCATTGACTAAGTTAGATTTCATGGAGGCAGACACAGAAAGATACACTGGCATCACTTCCATCCCCCACCACCCAAACAAACTCATACATTTTAAAAAGTTAATAAATAAGTAGAAAATTAACACTATGCAAATATATTTCAGAAGCAAAGCTCTCCATGGCCCAGGCAGCTTTTGTTTGCAAGAAACCAGCATTGTAAACTGTGAAACAAATCCCAAATTGAATTTTCTTGGTCCCCAAAACATATTCTGGCTGCCCTGCTGATGAGAGACCCAGGGAGCCACAGCAGAAATCTCTTAGTTATTCATAAATTCTCTCCCTTAAAAAAAGTTGTTGTTGTTGTTGTTTTAAACACAAGAGTGGAGATGAACTCCAGAGCTCAGAAACCATTTTCATGCAAAAACAGGCAGCCCAGTATACAAATAAAGACCTAGCTAGAAACCCTGAACAGAGCAACATAAATACTCACATCTGGTATAAATAAATAACAAGATACATTGTTTTACGATTAATGCCCAGCTCATGAATAAGTACACACAATGGAGATAGAAATATTTAATTTTGTGTTGTAGAACATAATTAGAAATTATTAAACAAAGTCAGAACACAGAAGGGACTTCTCAAAATGCACAGGCACCGGGTACAGCCTGGGTGTGTTTGGAACCAGTTTTGTCCAATATCAGATTATTTCGCTTTTTAAAGACAAGAAAAGCTACAACCTTAGTGTTTCATTAAATAGTTCATGAGAGTCATTCACTCTCCCTTTTTTCCCACTCCCTTCTGGGAGTTTAATGCACTGTGATAAGATAAATATCTGCCTTTTAATGATGATCACACCCTATTAAAACGTCTCACCCTGTTACCGATAATGCATGAGATTATGAAAGATGGAAAAAGTAAAAGTCTCATTTTCTCCTCCCTGCTGATGCCATTTGTTTACCTTTAGCATTCCCCTAGCTTACACAATGAAACAACAGAGGCTAATTTTACTACATTTCTGTTTATTCTACTTTGATTTCTCCCACAGATGAAATCCCTGCCAGTTCTATTATTTTCTTCTTAGATCAAGAGTCCCAATTTTGTTTCATAAAATGTAACTGGACTTATCACTACAGCTTGCTTTAATCAAATAGGATAGAATTGGGTAAAACGAGGACAAATTGCCAGGGTTCATTAAGATAGCACAGAATGCCCAATCTGGAAGTGTGGAGAGGGGATGCAGATCAAACCCACCACAGCTCCTAGACACATATAATTGCAATGTGGCCACCAATACGCATGGATACCATGGTTCAAAGAATCAGGGGAGTGATTTTCTTCTGATTTTAATGTTTAAAGACTGTTCTGAATCAGAAGAGTGGGAAATTTATTCAGACTTTGTTTTTAACTTTTAGGAGTAAATAAGTCAAGAACAAAGGCCAAAAGAAGAGCAAGTATAAAGAGTGCTATGATGCGATAAAACAGGACCCAAATGGTGTGATTCTTGGCTTTGTATGGCATGTTTCAGAAAGCAAAGGAAGGGCTTTTGTCCTCAGTGGGTATTGTCCCTTGCTCTGACTCTCTGTCTGAGTAACCTTTCTAGCTGATTTACTCCTTCCTAGAGACCAAAATGATAAAAATACTGAATCTCTTCTTTCTGGCCTTTTCCTCCATTCCCCTGCCAGCAACTTAACTCTTATTTGTTTTGAAAATTAGCCATTCAACAGAGCATTGCCTTTACCAGCTATTTGTTCTGCTGACCTATGGTGGAAGCTGGAATTGGTACTGCAAATGTGCTTCTCTAACAGGTCTGTTATTGCATTATTCCTTTATGGGGGCTTTGACGTAATTACATCAAATGTTGTTATAAATCCCACCGGAAGCCACCTCTCGGCTGACGTCTAGAGGACACTTTCAGTGTATATCTCCCTCATCTGCCATTAGCACGCCTCCATGTTCTTCCTAGTATATTAGAGGGCACACTGAACAGAAACAAGGACTACATAATCCAAACGGAGAGTTGAATGATTTGACAAGAAGCCAACCAGCACTTAGAGGAAAACTAACTACCATCAAAACACTTCCTTCAGAACAAAGGTTGAATCATAACCTTATTCCCCTAGCATATGAATTAGAAGAACAATTGTCTGATTATGATTAAAAAAAGAGCATTACATTTTATGTTCCACCATAATTGGTATTTATGACAATTTATGTAAACAGTAATGAAGCCTATGTGATTTTTGCGGGGAAATTGCATTATGACACCAATGATCGTTACTGTTAATTTTCCTGAAGATGATGGCAATCAGCAGGCATAGTTTCATTGTAAATAGGTTAATTTAAAATTCAAACACTGCTGCTATTTCAAAATGAGTTCACATTTGATTTCTGAAAGCTTTGGCCCAGTCTTTTTCCATGTCAAGATAAAAATGCATAGATGATGTGTATCAATGTATAAAACCTTGTTCTTCAGGGTTATGTGGGAATAAGCATGTATGTGATATATATGCAAATGTGTGTCTTACATACTACATATCCTTTTAATTGTTTCCCTGTTTTTGTGCTATGGAAATAAGTTTCAAAAACGTATTACTAATGTAATCACAAAATATGGTTATCACAAACTAATTTGCTATGTATTAAATAGTGTAAGTGAAGAGTGACATGTCAGCATTTTCTGTTATTTCTATTGTGTATTGAAAATTGCCAAACCAAACTTTTAACAAGAAATTAAAACATAAAATGTTCTTTCTTTATTGACCTTGGGCTCCTAGCTAGTTTTGAGTTAAATTGTTGTTCTACCAGTACATATTTTGGACAAGTCAGCTAATTTTTTTTATTTTAATATATATGCTTCTTACATGTAGATCAGTTTCTGCCAATTTGTCCAAGCAAAGTGAAAGGGTCTAATTTTCATCTTTGAACATTTGAAGAAAAGGGTAATTAATATTCTTGAATACACACACATTTGTGTGTCAATATATATATGTATATATTTAAACAATGAATGTCATAACAATAAGATATTTGGAATTATAAGGAAAAACAAGAAAAATTTTAAATGCTGACCAGTGTCTACTTACTTTAAGTAGTATTTGAGTAATTATAACATATTTTCACATTTTTGTACTATAATATATGAAAGTTGTGCTAATATACGCTACTAATTCTTCTCAAAAGTAAAATAGTATAGACTATGAGTGTGAATCATTGCGATAAATGTTATTGACAACAGAAATTAACATGCATGTAAATAGTTCTCTTTCTTTCTCACTCTCTGTCTTTTCTCTTTGAAACCAGTCTCTTGGTGGCCAATCAACTGCTCAGAGTATGTTATTCTAATGAGAAAAAACGTAGGTATAATTGTTCAAAATGTATCATAATTTGACTATATTAATTCTACTAGTTTGATCCTGAAAATTTTATTATTTTGGAAGAACTTGTGTGACTATGCCTATCTGTATATGTGGTACTTTTAATTAAAATGCCATTTTCACAAAAACATGCCCAGTTTGTTTTACCCTGGACCACTTATTTCAAGAAATAGGGATTAGAAAACAAATATTAGGTATCTAAACACCTGAAAAGCTGGAATAAATCTAATATGATTTCTAACATGAATATTATGAAGTAGTATGAAATCTAATAAGCTTTCAAAAACTTAGATATGTATACCCTGAAATCATATTGCTTCGTATTGATTATAATTTTTGAAAATCAATAATTAAATGTTAAAGTATATTTACTTGTGGAAAATATCCATATACCTATATGTGAAGTAATACACTATATAATCTCAAGCAGGTACTTCTATTTCTCCCAAGAGAGGGAATACAGGATGTTGAAGAGGTTGTTCAAGTGCTTTCTACATTTTTCTTGCAATATTCCTTTGTAACTTTTTTTTTAATTCAAATAACTGTTGTTAGTGGACTAGTTCTAGCCAACTCTAATGCTGTAAAGGGGAAATATGAAAGAAAATCTGAAAATTAAGAAAATCATGTATATTTATTAAATGTTCTGAGAATTAGCAGAAGGCTCAGTTGAATTGCCTTCTTGAGCAGGTATTTCTTCCATAGGAGTTTACATTAGAATTACTGCTCTGAAATATACTCAGAGTGATATAGGTTTGCTACTTAACACATTTTTTTTCCTTTTTACTATTTTTAATCAGCAATTCTCTGCTATGAG